GCTCTGGCGTGGGCTGGTCCATGAGGTCACGAAGAGTCGGAGACGACTGAACGAATGAACAACAACATATCTCAAGAACAGGTTTTGGGACCAAAATTATGGATTTAGATATGACTCATGGATAAAATGAGTGTCATCCCAAAGAGATTGGAAAGCACCAATATCACCTCAGAGGACTAGGCGCCGCTGGCTGTCACTGTAGTTTCCCTACCTAGGCATTCAAAAAAGGCAAAAGCAGCACCAGAGCAGAATAGAGGAGGTTGGTGCTTCTTTTAGGTTCTCTTGAGGTAAACAAAGCTCTTGCCTTTTGCCACCCTACTTAGAGAAGGGGATATTCCCTTTTTTGATAAGAGTGAAGATGCAGTACTTGCAATCATTTGTGGATAAGGCAACTAAGGTTTTGGGGTTTGGTGATTCAACTAAAATTTCTAGACTTATACATGAGCATATAGGATAAGTGGATATCAGATTCACTCCTGGATATCTTGCCTCAATTCCTTTAGTTTAAGTGCACGTTTCCTCTGAGCCAAATTCTGCTGCCAGGTGTATCTCTGTCCCCTGAAAAATCTGCACTGGAGATAGTACTAAAGGAAAAGGTACTAGTAAACACCTTTCTTCCATGTCCCTTCTAATCCTGGAAGAACTCAGAAACTAAGACAAAAGCTCAAGAATGCTTCCTAATCATTTGTGCATGGTTCAGCTGTGGTAATGTCAACAATGAATAAAATGTTCACATTGAGTTGCCGCTGGAAGATAATCCTTGTGTAGGAAGAAAGTCAAGATTTAATCAGTATCTTGTTTAACAAATGAATGGTACAATTTACTATAGTGTAGTAGAATTGTTCCTTACAGTAATAAAAAAGAGCTCCAATCCCTACTAAACTATTTGAAGGTTTAAAAATCCAGATAATGATTTGGGCCTAAATTAAATCACAAATTCCATCTCAAGTAGACATGTAAAATAAATGGGATTTACATAAACGTCAACTTATCATCTAAAAATTGTTTTATTTACAATTTTAGGCCTCGATCTCTTTGAAAAAGGACACATGGTTATGAGCTCAGTGCTTTGGAGACACTAATGTGTTTCATAAAACTAGTAAGTGAATGAATGGATGAAGGGGGCACTTAAAGTTGTTAATGACTTTAATACTGAGGACTGAAACTCCTTTACATCTCCAAAGGGTGTCTTGTTGGTGCTGACAAAGAAAGCTAGATATGTAAATGTTTCCCTAATTTCATATTGGTATCCTACTGAATGACACTTAAGTTGCTTCGATAAAAACCTGTAAAAGCAACAGAAAAAGCTTACCTCCTTCATGTTCTCATTAATGGAACAAGAACTTCTTTTTCTAGGAAGATCAATAGGACGACCCCCGATATACAATAGGTTGCGTTTCCTATCATTTTGGGCTTCAGATGCCATAATCTCCAAAATCCCTGGTTTTCAAAATAAAGGAGAAATCAATGTAAATTCTTATCTATTAATCATAAACCATAGATACGCCATGTAGTTATTTAATGAAAAAAAATTTGTTTTTAATATGGCATGCACTTCACATGAAAATCTTCAGAACTTCATCTGTATTATTTATTTATTTATAACATTTGTATTCCATCCTATTCTTGCCCTCCGAAGAGGGACTCAGGGCGGTGTCCAACAATATAAAAACACCTATAAAATACACAATTACATAAAATTATAATAAATATACATTTAAAATCAGTTCACCAAGTTTAATATAATAAGATTATTAAGAACAGCTTTCGCCATAACTTCATAACCACAGATTAGAATATGTTACTTTCTAAAGCATAATAGGACCCTAAGCTGTTACAAGCAGAAGTAAAAAATAAAACATTATGCTAACACAATACAGTTATCCCTACTTTGTACTATTCTTCTTGCAACACATTAATATTGCTTTGCATCTCATTGTCACTTTCAAATCCTGTATAAGAGTTTTACAATTACTCTGTAATAAACCAGATACATTTTTTGACACAAAAAACACGCTAAGATGTGTTGTTGAAATTTCTGTGCTGTTTAGATTTCTGACTGAACAAAATTATTTTTGTTTTTAAAAGGTAATGATTCATCTTTCCACCCAATAATAACCATTTAAAAGACTGGATGAGAGAACACTTTTCTGCAGCCTGGTTTCCAAGTACAGAGGGAACAAGTGTTTTTCGGCTTGCTTTTAGCATGCCAGTATTCCATACAGCGGTACAAATGTGGTCTACAATTATGAAGTCTAAAACTCTGCAGTTATTACTGACAATATATTGAAGAAGCTCAAGTCACACCTAACATGACAAAAAAAAACCCCTCAAAAATTGGACTATGCAGTTTGGAATTGGTGCACACTGGTCAAGTATAAATGTTAGGGCTCCACAAATATATCATGGAGAAGGTACATTCTTGCCTCTCTCCTTGCCAATGGGCCAAAATCAAGGGGGAAACATTACTTGATTTGGCCTTAAAAACTATGTCATTTTATGTGACTTGCAAAGCTTTCAATGCTAGGGCAACATGGTGACATTTATACAATCTTACAAATAGCCCTTTGAAGGCAACAATAAACTAGGTGAAAATGCGCTTGACACCACTGAACAAGACTAATAATTTAAACATATATCCCCCACATGTCTTTATATTTCACTATTAGGAACCTTGAGGCTTATACTTTTGATTTCTTAGTAAATCTACATATTTTCAATTTATTACCAATTTGTTGTTCAAGGCCTAAATTAAGTTTTATCTAGTAATAACTAGAGCTGTGAATGCCTGGACATGGGGGAGAGACAGATATTCTCTCTCCCTCTCTTTTACCAAAGCAAGAAAAATTGGGGTGTGGGGGTGTGGTATATTAGTATTTTCTTTTAGAATGATAAATAATTTTTAAAGACAAACTATTCATATATTTACTTCCCTTAAATAATTTCTAAAAGATACATAACATATTTATTTAAGAGTGCAGTGGTCCCTTTGTATTCACAAAGGCTTAGTTCCAGACCTCCTTGTTTATCTCAAACTCTAGCCCCATTATATACAATGACATAGTAAAAGTTGTTGCTTATATAAAATGGCAAAAACAAGTTTTGCTTTTGGGATTTTTGAAAAAAAAAGTATGGTTGAATATAGATAGGGAGAGTCAACTGTACAAATAAAATCAGAACATTATTTGGCAGATCATATCTCCCAAAACAAATCTACCCAGGCCCTGAGATCATTAGGAGAGGCCCTTCTCCCAGTGCCACCATTACCGCAAGCACAATTGATGGGGATGAAAGAGAAGACCTTCTCGGTGGCAGCCCCTGGATTCTGGAACTCCCTGCCCAGGGAAGCCAGAATGTGCCCCTCTCTGCTATCCTTCTGGCGGCAGGCTAATATCTTTTTATTCAGATAGACCGTTAAAGAATAAAGTTCTAAAAAGCAAACCAGGAAGGTGCTGTTTTAAGTATTCTGTTTTTAAGTGTTTTAACGATGTTATATGTTTAATTCTGTTTTAATATTTATATGATTGAGATTTGAAGTTGTATTTTTAATTGTTGTGAAATGCTTTGTGTCTCCATCACAGAGATAAAAGCAGGATAACAACAACAACAACAATTTCTTATTTTAAAAAAATGTGTTCTTTATGTCTGCATGATATTATGTAGGACCTGAAGAGACAAAATAGTTGTATTTGTTTTATTAATGCTGATGGCTCCTCTTTTTAATGTTTTCTTCCTGTTCTGCATACATTGGCAAAAATAAATCAAAATAAAGAGGTACCTTACAGTTGTACCTTACAGTTAATGATCTTGTAGCTCCCTTAGTAATAAAATGAGGTCAATTTCATTTGAAGGTGTTGTCTAAATAATTAACATTTTTGTCACATCAAATCAAATCAAAATACATTTTATATTCTTTAATTGACAAAATGACTTTCAATCTCTAAAATGTACAGTAGTAATGTAGTATTCACCATTTAATAAAACATTTTCATTTTGTTCTTGTGGGTTTTTTCGGGCTATATGGCCATGTTCTAGAAGCATTTCTCCTGACGTTTCACCTGCATCTATGGCAAGCTTCCTCAGAGGTGAGGTCTTTCATTTTCATTTTGTCTTAAACATATCCAGAATTTTTTTCGGAGCTTCAAAATTTACCACTGTTACCCCTGCCCTAAAGTTTCAGAATGTTTCTCTCATCCACTGATTTTTGGGAATTTTAAAAGGTTTTAATGAACATTGAAAAAAAAAACCCCTACAAGAGCTATCTCCTTGAATATCTATTTTCAATGGGCATCATTTTCCCCAAGTCTGCACATCCACTTATTTTGTTAGGGAATTTTAACCAACATAAACTTCACAGTACTATTTCACTGGAAGACTCTGTGGGCCATCCAGTCCAAACCTATTCTGCCAACCAGGAAAAGCACAATCAAGCCACCCCCAACAGATGCCCATCCAGCCTTTGAAGTAATAATAATAATAATAAGTGGCACCTGTGATGGAGACCTGGAGCCATTTACAAGACTTACATAACCCTTCTGAAAGTCAAAATGTTTTTTGACTGGCCACCCCTCCTGTTTTTCAATATTGCTTCATATGTATGAATTGTACAAAATAAATATGAACAAACAAATTACAAATGTAGTTTTGAACAGCCCTAATCTCTAGTGATAAATAAAATAAGAGCTATGCATCCAGTATGCACCAAAGATAATAGAATTATAAAATACACGTTACATGACTAAAAAGAACCAACCCTTCTCCTTCTCCTTGTATTCTGATTGCTGGTCCCTCCAAAATAAGTCTAAAACAAAAACAACTCTGAAGCTATTTTACCAGGTATAAAGATTATAGCTGAATTAACTGTTGTGTTAGTGTAATGTATTCAAATTATGTTTTTTAAAATGTAGGCAACAATTTCAAAATGTAATCCTCCTCACTTGCAGTTTTTAAATGTACAGCCCTTCTATCAACCCATGCTCTTGCAGGTGCTGACTAGAGCAAAATCCTACTGAAATTGATGAAGCAAATTAGTCATGAAAAACTCGAACGACTCCTGATTTTAGTAGGAAATGCAGCCTAATCCTATTCCTATTTTCTTCAATAAACTCTGTTCTTGCATGTCTTCAAGTCACTTCTGATTTAAAACAACCTTAAGTCAAATCTATCACAGGGTTTTCTTGAGGATCTGTTCATAGGGGTTTTCCCTTGCCTTCCACTGAGACTGAGTGTGGCTTAGGCAAGATGGCCCTTGTGGTCCCTTCCCAACATTATGATTCTATGAAACTCACCTAATGGGTTTCTAAAGCTGAGCAGGGATTCTCCCAGTGCCCTGGTCCAATACATAAACCACTACACCACGCTGACTGTCCAGTGGGTTTTACCTCTTAATAAATGTACATAGGCTTCCAAACATAATTAATTACTAATTATAATTGGATTGAGCATCAAATGTACAGTCTATGTACAAAAGTTCTTTAAAAGATTGGATGACTGCCAATATACTATAACTACAGGTACAGTTTGACTATGTATCACATACTCAAAAGGAAGAACATAAGCTTAAATTTCTCACTGCAGTACATAGTCTCCCCTTCGGTAATATCGCCAATAATGTCCACTACATCTTCACAGATATCAGTTGACTGATTTATTCTTGATCTTCCTTTTGTCTTGGAGACATTATGAAATGCACAGTTCTCACAGTCATATTTCAAACAGATCTGCAAAACGCCTAGCAAACTTACTATTCAAGTTCTACCAGGCTTTAGCCTGAGAAAAATAAGACAATTTAATTTCACGTTTTAGATGACACATGAAAGGAGAGGGAGGGTATATTCCTGAAGTTTCCTACCAAACTACTAATCTTGGACACCATTACATCTACACTGGGCTAGAATAAAACACCGTATTATTAGGAAATCTATCTGGTGCTGCACTGATAAATACCCACTTTTGGAAGCATTCTTTCTACAGATTGGAAACTGCATCACATCCAGGAGTCATTTTTTTTTTAAATCTAGGGACCACTGGAACAGCAAAATTTTTTTAAAAAAATTAAAAAAAAAGAAAGAAAAAGAAAAAAAGACCAAAGTAGTCAGAGGTTAACTTATGCTTTTGGGAGAAAAAAGTATTTTTGATGTTAAGCAAAGCTGGGCGCCCTGTAACCTATTTCAAAGTGAACTGCAATTCCTGGAGTCTTCCCGAGTAGGCAGTTGAGCATTCTGGGGGCAAAAAGAGAACCTGGTCAAGATCATTATACATCAAGGATATTTGCCTTCCTTTGAAACCGAAAGAATGGGTCTTTCCCAAGGCCACTCAGTGGGTTTCCATGGATGAATGGAGATCTGAATTTTTATCTTCAGGGTCCTAACCTTAAGAGTTCAAACAATTACACAATTTCATTATATATGTAACTTTGACATGAAATTATCTTGTGTGAC